ACTGGACGACGTGCACGACATTGTACCTCTAGCTCTGTGGGGTGACAGTGCGCCACTTACAAAAAAGAACGGTGGTCTGTACATGTTGTTGTGGAGTGTTATGCTTTCAGAGTGCCACCGTCGTTTTTGGACAGTTTGCTTCACGAAGTCCCAACTGTGTCAGTGTGCGTGCAAAGGAAGGCACACGATTGATTCGGTACTAAGGGTGGTGGTGTGGTCATTCCAAGTCATGCTGACCAAACGATACCCGTCGAAACGGCACGACGGCACGTCATTTTCGGAGTCACGGTACAAAGGCGATGCTGCCCGTGCACGGAAAGCTGGCGATCTGTTCCGCTGCGTTGGCGCGGTTTTGAGTAAGAAGGGCGATTGGGCTTGGCTGAAACACATCATGGATCTAGCTTCGTGGTCGAGCGCATATTGTTGTTGGATATGCCGTGCGAGTTACTCAAACTTTACAGACGCGTCTATTTCAGCAGAATGGAGGTCGTCGTATGTATCGCACGATGACCTGCGAAGGCTTCAACAACGCGGATATAGAAGTGAGGTGTGGAATTTGCCAGGCTTTGATTTGTCATGTGTCTCGTTGGACTTGATGCATGTTGCTGAGTTGGGAATATCCCAAGCCCTTGTCGGAAATTGCCTTTACGAGCTCTTCCTGTATCTTGGAGGTGTGATCACCGCGCCGACGAGCACGTTGGGAGATATGTTAGCTATCATCGGCATTGCGTCGAAACACCTTGGCTTCGACAGGCCACTCAACGATTTGACGCTCGGCATGTTCAAGCAACAAAGTAAGACGCCAAAATTGCGAGCGAAGGCAGCGGAGACGAGACACATGGTAGCTGTCATGGATTGGCTTTTCACTCATATGTTCAAACCGAAGAATCCACACGATGAGTTGCGACAGCGTTGTGTTCACCAGTTGGCTCTCTTGTACGAAGAGCTTGGGAAATGGGACATCGACAATAGCCCGCTTCGAGCAGCTACGCTCGGCAGACATCATGTCGTTCTGTACGGGGAACTTACGCGCGAGGCGCTTGCGAGTGGCACTTGGCAAGACAAGCAGTGGCACCCATGGAGGTTCTACCCCAAGCACCATCTCTTCGTGCATTTGGTGGAGGACGTCATCCCCCAGACAGGGAATCCGAAGTCCTTCTGGTGCTACCAGGACGAAAACGCTATGGGCGATGCCGTCAATATCGGGCGCGCTTGCCATTGTCGGAACTGCCATCGCAGCGTCATTGATAAGTATCGCTTGTGAATGTAAAATTGTTGTTCGGAACTGCAGGTCGGATTTCCTCGAGACTGACCTCGCCTGACCTCGAGCCCGCTACTAAAAATGCTGTTCGGAACTGAAGGTCGGATCTCCTCGAGACTGACCTCGCCTGACCTCGAGCCCGCTACTAGGAGGAGGAGGACGAGGAGGAGGAGGAGGAGGAGGAGGAGCAGGGAGGGGAGGGGACGGCGAGGAGGAGGAGGAGGAGGAGGAGGAGGGGGAGGGGGAGGAGGAGGAGGAGGAGGAAGAGGAGAAGGAGGAGGAGGAGGAGGAGGAGGAGGAAGAGGAGGGGAGGAGGATGAGGAGGCTCTAGGAATTGAAAAGGCACATGTGTTCTGTGAGTATATAGGGATGCTGATGATGATAAAATGAGCAAAGATGGGGATCCCCAAGATGCTAACATGTACATGTGTGATCCCCAACATCAAGATGGGGATCGCACCACCTAACATGATCTTCTTCTTTTCTTGGGTATCGGAAGTCCTGGGTCCGCGATGCATCGGCGACGCACCGGCGACGCACGGGCGACGCCGGCGATGCATCGGCGCCGCTGGCGTTCAGGAAAGTTGGCTTCGCATCGATCCGCATCGCCGATGCCTCGGCGATGCGGCGGAATCCTCCGACGACACCTACAGTCGGGTCGCCGAAGAAGGAATCCTTTTCGTTGGGAAGGGGCTCCGTGTTCCTGGAGTGTTTCACAGATTGCCTCAGGTTTTCCAAGTGGGGAATCGAATCCAAGTGGGTTTCTAAGTGCGGGAATGTTTTCGATGGGGGATCGAAGTTCAACTTATGGAAAAAAAGGGGCCTCGTTCCTTATTCTTGGGTTCCTCAGGTCAACGCCCCGACTGTACTCCGACCCCATGTGGGAGGCCTAAGATGGTGCTTCGTCCCCGATCCACTCCCGGTGGCCCGGGGGGGCCGAACGCAGTCCCCGTTTAGGTCGAGATCCAGGGAGCACGCCAGAAATTAACAAAAAGACCAAAGAAACGTGGTTTAGTGAAAACGACCTGAGGCCCAAACTTGGCGGGCGCAAGCCTGGAAAACAACGGCCGCGGCGCCCTCTCGAGAACCGAAAACGGACAACTCACTAATCGACGTGTCACTGTTGGGGGTTCTGTCCACCCCCGATAGATGGGACCCGCTCAGGGGGGGAAGCGTGGAGCTGGCAACGGCGATCCGTCGCCGATGGATCGGCGGTGCAGTCGACTTGTACAAGAAAGACGCACGATAAGAATTCAAGGGCTTTGGAAGGCCATGTCGACACTTTTCGGGCGGGGCGCGGCCAGCAAAAGCGGGCAGGGATGACCCGAAGGAGAAGGATACAAGGGGAACCTTGGAAACTCGCCCTTCCGATGCGCTTTGGCAGTGGGCCGCCGATAGCGAAACTGAAAGTTCCTGCGGGGTTGGATCCCGGGCTCCGATCGGCGATGAATAGCCGAGTTAAGGTCGATTAGAGGCCTCCTAGAAGGGGTCGGAGAAGATGAGGTCGGAGGATCTCGCCGCATCGCCGATGCATCGGCGATGCGCTGGCGACGTCGCCGATGCATCAGCGCCGACGTCGTGAAGGAAATCGGGCTCCACAGATGCCTCGGCGATACGATCCGATCCTCCGATCCCATCGACTCGGACCCCGTCTATGAAGGCGCCCTGGGCAAATAGACACAAGTAACAGGATTCCGCATATCTTCCTATATTTCTGGGATTTCTGTTCCCCCCACACTTCCCATATTTTTCCATACTTTCCTGGAGATCGACGATTCATTGTGTCTGTGTTTTTACCCCTCCTGAGTCTGGGAGGCCCAGATCGAGGCACTCTCCCGGAGCCCACCCCCGCCTGACGTTGCCCCCAAGCCTTCGGGCCAGAGCTCGGCCCCCTCCGGCGTTCGTGAGACGATCCCAGGCACCCCCCGGGAGCTCTCGGAGAGGCTTGGCGGCGAGCGAAAGGGGGGAAGTGAGAAGGAGAAGGCCTTCTCAGAAGGCTCGGAAGTCTCCTGGCCTTCTGAGAAATTGAGACTTCCCCGAAGACGCAGAAAACTTCTCGGACGGCGCGATGGCTTCTGAAAAGTCCGACCGCCTTCTGAGAAGGCCATCTCCTTCTCGTTTCCCCTCGCTCGCCGCTGAGAGGCGCAGCGCTGTAAAACACCCCTGGGCCAGGAAACCGAAGAGAACCGAAGCAAACAAAAAGAAAACCACGAACCTCGAGACCACTGCCCCCCACCCCCCGAGCCTATCCACCCCTTCGGTTGCCCCTGGGGGCGACGACGGTCTCGGGCCCAGGGGCCGTCAAAACGGACCCTGGGGCCGTCGAAACGGACCCTGGGCGAAGAGTTGCCCGAAGACTCGAGCAAAAAAACACCTTCCAGCGCCAGGGGAGGCGAGGGGAGCGGATGGGGGGGAGTGGGATCCAAGACCCTGGGGGAGGGAGCGAGAGAAAAGGGTTGCTATGAGAAGAGCAGGTTGGCAGGGACGGGAACGGGGCGGGGACGACGAGAGCAGAGACGGGCCGGGGCATGGCACGGAAGGGACAAGCTTTGCAAACGCGAGAGGCAGAGAAAAGAACAAGGAAACACACAAACGGGCACAACCCTAGCTTGTCGGACGCACGCGCGGCGTTCCTGCACCTGCGCCGGACCAGAGAGCGCGGCGGCGCGCGCCGGGGGGCGTCCACGGAGGCGCCGCCGACGTGCCCCAGCTCAGCTCCAAGAGATACGCGCGGAGCTCCAGACGGAAGTGATGCCGATGCCGCCCCTCGCTGCTCGAAAGATGGAGGGGCCGAGGTCTGCAGGAGCGTCTGCCCCGAAGTGGACCTCCGAGTGATCTGGGATCACTGCGGTCCGGGGTGTGTCTGCGGCTTGGACCCCAGAGGCCCGGATCTGTAGCTGCCCCTGACTGCCCCGAGCCCCGCCCGACTCCTCCGGGACAACTGCGGCTTGGGCACCCGCAGGCGCGAGACTGCAGCTACCCCTGACCTTTGCGGGCCCCGGAAACGGCAGGGACGTGTTTTCACCGTTTCCAAAAAAATGTACCTTGAAAATGAAAACGGCAGAAAAACGGCGACTGGAAACGGCAAAAAAACGGCCCCAGGTTTGGAACTGGAGCCGGAACCGGTCAACACACGGCGACGGAACCGGTCAAAAACAACGGCGTCGGAACCGGCAACAAAAACGGCAAAACGGAGCGGGTAAAAAAAACGGCCCTGTCGTTTCCAGGGCCCACAAAGGCCGTCGTTCCGGAGCGCTCTCAGAGCGTTCCGGAACGCTCTGGAGCGGCCGCGGCGCCCAAATACATCCTCCAAACCCGCCGATTCTCAGAGATTTCGAATGATCAGAGCGTGAATTACCTACCCCGCTTTCGCTTCCAGGCAAAACCAAGCCATACCACGCGCCTCCTCGTTGAGCGGCCTGACCAGTGCAGGCTGCAATCTGGCATCGTTTGGTATCTCTTGGAAGCGAGGGTGGTCAAAAGCGAGGTAGGTTTGTTTTCCCCGTCAATTATCCCGATCCGATTTTGTCCCGATCTTCGCGTCGTTTTGCTGACCGCCCCCCTCCCCGAGGAGTCGGGGCTCTGGCCCGACGCTGCCCCTGCGGGCGCCGATGGTGACGACGGACGCGGCGACGAAGACGGAGACGGAGACGACGACGACGACGAAGGCGACGACGGACGACGACGACGATGGACGACGACGACGACGACGACGACGACGACGACGACAACAGGGTGCCTCCGCGAGGTGCGCGGCGGTCTGGGACGCGGCGCTCTTCGCCTCGCCGGCGCCCCCCCCCCTCCCGCGCCAGCGGCCTCGCGCCCGGCCCCGCCCCTGCATCTCCTCGAGAGGGACCTGCCTCCTCCTCCTCCTCCTCGCAAAGGGGCATCCCTCCTCCTCCTCGTCCTCCTTCTAGTTATGCTCCTTCTCCTGCTCCTCCTACTCAACCTATCCCTCCCCCGACTGCTCCTCCTCCTCGCTCTTCCTCCTCCTTCGCGGTGTGGCTGACTAGGATAGTGGGAGGTTGAAGGTAACGGGCGTTCCTGAGACAGCACGCCGGACAGCCTCGGCGGTGGAGGGGGCGCAGGGAGGAGAGAGGGAGCTTGAAGATCATAACGTAACGCTCCCCCACTTCTCCGTGCGCCCCTGGCATCACCGCAGCGATCATGCGAACCTCAACCTCCTGCGACGTCCTGTCATATCGCCGCGTGGACCATGCGAGTGACACCACCAGGCGGCGAGGAGAGGGAAAGCGGACCCTGCCAGAACCACAGTGCACAGTACAGCATGCCGTCAGTACAATCACAACACGCGGGCAGAGCAACCTGCAGGTGCGAAGTACGTCGAACCAGCGCGCGAGCCCCACAACGGGACAGCAACCACGCGCAGGAGGGTGCTGTACACTGTGGGCACTACCCTCGCGAGCAATGCAACCTGGCTGCGAGCACAACGCATGTCTCGGGACCACCTCAGCCTGCCATTACCGCAGTGTGTGTGTGTTGCGATCACAAGCTGGCGAAGAAAGCTAGGACCAGCCAGGACCACACAACTTTGGAGCCATGCAACAAAGTGCCTGACCCACCAAGTACCACGATAGTCTGCGAAAGAGGGGGACGACGACGACGAGGAAGAGGGGCGGCGGGAGGAAGGCAAGGACGAGGACGACGAGAACGACGAGGACGAGGAGGACAACAAGGACCAGGAGCAGCAGGAATACGAAGATGAGACGAGGAGGGCGGAACGACGAGGACACCGACGAAGACCACCACTACCACGGCGACGACAACGGAAACGACGAAGAAAGGGATCGAAGAAACCGACCAGGAGGACGACGAGCATCAGGAGGACGAGGAGGAGAAGAGGAGAATGGTCAGGGAGAGTAGGACGCGCAGGATGAAGAGGAGGGAGGAGGACGACCAGGAATATGATCAGGCGGGCGATTGGGACGGGGGCGATGGGAAGGACGGGGAGGAGAAGGAGGAGGCATGGCACGACAACAACGACGACGGCGGTGGCCGGCGGCGGCGGCATCCTTCAAACTGTCGCACTCCAGACACCTCTGGATGGGAGGGGATGGTACTGAGGCCCTTTGGAGGCAACGAGTGACCAATATGTATACAAGCCGCAGGCCAGACCACCGCGGCGACGCCTGCCGCAGCAGGCGCAAGACGCAGCCTGCTCCCGCGCCGCCGACGTGTAGGAACATCTCAGCAAACGCCTGCACTCCGAGCTCTACAACTTGCCTTTGACCACCACAGTTGGCTCGCGACAGCCAGGCTCCCTGCAAGTACAACATCTGTACGCGAGGGCCACAAGTGTATGCGACAAAATGTTGGACCCTGCGAGTGAGACAACATCCGGTGAGTTCCGCAAATGTGTCCACCAATACCACGTCTGTACGCGAGGGCCACACGTGTATGCGACAACATGCTGGACCGCGCGAGCGCCGCAACATCCTGCGAGTCCCGCGCACTGTCCGCCAGCACGGGCAACACGTCTGGGATCACCACAGTGGGCCGCGAAAAGCAAAATATAATGCAATCTGCATACTCGCCTGCGAACCCCGCAGCAGCCTGCGAGCACAATGCAGGCGATCCGGGGGCGCACTGCAAGGGCGGGGGCGGTATATTGGTGTGAGGTACGTTTTTTTCCACCGCAACGCACCCCAACCAATCACAATTAATGAGCCCACTGGTCTGGCATGACACAGAAAGCAAAGGACAGTGTTTCATGACGACGTTGCGTCAGGAAAGCTGGATGGTCATGTGCGGTGGCGGCAAGTATGCAGGTGGAGCGGGAGAAAAGGCGGAAAAGAAACAAGAGCCGAAGGAGGAGGAGGAGGAGGAAGGAGAGGGCCAAACAAAAGTCGAGTTAGTTCCTAAGGCGGCGCGCGCACAGCGCCTTGGACGATCCCACCGCCTCGCACACCAATGCAACATGAATTAGACACGAACAAACGACTACAGGAGGGACCATGCCCCCGAAGACACAGGAGGAGGAAGAGCCAGAGAGAGAGCAGACGCCGACGGGAGACAGCACGATACGGCCTCCAGGCCCCACGTGCAGGTGAGCAGTTGCAGGGGACAGGCAGGACGACAGCTACGGAAGAAGCGCCCTGCATGGCAAAGTCACAGACTCATGTCAGTCGATGGTATTGCTCTGGCAGGGCACAGCAGCGCCTCGGGGTGGCCTGGGAACCCTGGGGGCGGCAGAAAAAACCAAGCCCGCGGCGTCGAAGCCAAAACGGGGTCGGCGAACTGCGGCCACGAGGAGGCCGTAAAGCATGCAGACAGAAAAACAAGACAAACACCTAACGTGCACAGGAAGAAAGGACAGGAAACAGCAGGAAGGCGGAGGACTGAAGGAAAAGCATGCGCCGAGCCTTGCTGCTAGGCCCGCCACGGACCATAATGCCCCCAGGAATCGCCGAGCCTGGTCCTCAGAACCCGCGTACGTCGCGTCGCACTGCGGATAGTCACAGTGCTCCTGCACGCCGTGCAACTGGCATCAATCGTGCAGCGCTCTCCTGGATGTGGTTGCCCTGATGTTGTCCTCAATCATGTTGCCCTTATTGCCGTATTGCTGGAATCCGTTGGCCTCCAGAGCCTCGCCAGCCATCTGTGATGGTGAGCTGGTCAGCGCGGGAGTCGGAGAGCTGATCGGCCCAGGAGTCCGCAAGCTGGTCGGCGCGGAATTAGGTGGGCTGGTCTGTGCAGGAGTCGGTGAGCTGGTCGGAGCGGGTGTCGGTGAGCTGGTCGGCGCGGGAGTCGGCGATCGGGTCGGCGCGTCCATAGAGTCGGTCCACCTGGAGTCATCCCACAATGAAAGCCACGATGAGCCGACCAGCCGATCAGAGTCGATCATCCATCCGAATACTTTTCCCAATAATACATGCGGTGTTCGAGCCGGATTGCTGCTAGACCGCTAAGCCATATTGCGGCATTTCCATGTGGGCGCAATCCCCCCATTACAGACAGCGGTATTTTGGTGTGAGGTAGGGGGGAGGCGGCCATACTGCTCGTTGTGGCCCAGGCCTATACATGACCCTCTCGGGGAGGAAGAGGCGGAGGGAGGAACGGGGACGTAGAAGGGGCACGCGGGGGAGGCGGAGGCAGCGTGCGAAGCCAGGATGGCCGGGATAGGGGTCCTGCGACTGCCACTTGCTCAGCTGCTCCACGGCCTCCCTGGCCTTGGCCTCGGTAGAGGGGCGGCGGCAATGAGACAGTCCCCCTCCCCCTCGCCCTCTTCCTCACGACCTCCTTGGCCTTATCCTCCTCCTCATCGCTTTCCGCATCCTCCTCGTTCGCGCGTCGGCAACGTCTGCCGGATTCCCCTGACTTTTTCGCAGGAGGCGAGGAGAGGGGTCAAAGGTAGTGCCTAAGAAGGGAAACGAGACGGGGGGGAGGGCGAGGGGGCAAATAAAGGAGAGGTGCCGAGGCCAATCGTAAGGATGCATGGTGAGGATGCAGGGCCCGCGGTCGTCCATGTTGCAACCGCTGGCCAACGAAATCTGCCGGCGAGGACAGAAGCAGATAGGGGCAGCAAGAACATCGCCACCACCACCATTGCGAGGAGCCAATGGGGGTCCTCCTGGTGGTGTGGTCTCACCGTTCTGCGGTGCCCCCCCCTGGAAACATCGTCCACCTCGGCTCGGGCAGGCATCGTGGACCCCAACGCTGGAGGCTGCCCGCTGGCGGTGGCGGCATCGCTCCTCGCTCCTCCGAGGCCAGCCAGCGAAATCTGCCGCCTCGGGCAAGATCGCAGGAGGGAGTCTTCGGAACCGACGCATCCCGACACGGACGCGCGCCGCACCTCCCCACCTGAAGCAGCGCCTCCTCACAGAGACTCCGGGACGAAACTTCGGCCGTGGCGACGAGGCCCCCCCCCCCAAGAGGAAGGCCCAGCGGGGCACCAGAGGCGCGGGAGGGGCGGCGGGGCACCGGGGCCCCCAGGAGGCTCCCGGGCGGCCCGAGGGCGCCCACGCTGCACGCGGCCCCTGGCCGCCAGGGTGCGTCGAGCGCTCCTGACCCCATGCGAGTCCAAGGGTGATCCGCCACCGTGCCTTCGAGGCACGAACTGGAATGTCCGCGGATCCTTGGCCCAATCACTACGGCCTGAATGCTTCAGCCTCAGTCGTCAACGCGCCGCGCCTTCTCGCGTGACTCTTTCGTCCTCAAGGAGGGGCTAAGAGGGCCCCAAGAGGCGCCCTAGACAGTTCAAGGGGACCATGAATCGCCGCACGATCAGTTCAAGGCGCCCAACATGGCTCCAAGACGGCCAGATTTCGAGGCGCACCACGAGACCCCCAAGAGCCTTTTCCAAGAGGTTCCCGAGTGGCCAGAGTCAGTGATGTCCCATCGACTGTTTGAGCTTCCGACGCTCCAAGACAGCCGCTCCACGAGACCCCCAAGAGCCTTTCCAAGAGGTTCCCGAGTGGCCAGAGTCAGTGATGTCCCATCGACTTTTTGGGCTTCCGACGCTCCAAGACAGCCAAACATTCCACCAAGACCGCTCCAAGACGGCCGAAGATGCTTCCGATAACGCTGAAACGGCCCAGGAGGGCTCCAAGACGGCCCCGGAGGCGCCGCAGACGGCCCCAGACGGCCCGAAGACAGCCCCGAGGGCCCAAAAGGAGGAGCGCGACTGGGAAATCCGAGCCTCTCGCCCCGAGAGACCCCGGGGGGCCCCCCGAACGGCCCTGGAGGCCCTACGAGGCTCCAAAGAAGTGCCGCGCGCAAAGCCCACGAGGCTCCCAAAAAGGGCGTCCCAGAGGCCCCAACGGAAGCCTCCACGGAGGGGCCTGCGAGGCCTCTCCCACGACATCCCAGCGAACGCGCGAAGAGCTCCAAAGCAAGCCCAACTGAATGGGGGGCCACATGCGAACCCTACCCCTACCCCCCACGATTTCTGAGGGGGAGGGTGGGGATCCCTTCGTTCGGGAGCTCCCGAGCGAAGTGAACCCCACCCTCCCCCTCTGAAGTCGTCGTGGGGGGCAGGGGTAAGGTTCGCATGTGGCCCCCTATTGAATGCCCCGGAGGGGGAACACGGGACGACACTTCGAGCTCGAATAGGACTCACGCGAAACTTGCTCGGCACTACTCAGGCACACAAGCGAACTGCCTCTACTGATACCTGCTAGGTTACCCACGTGCACCCCCTGGGCGGCTCAAACAATTGTTCCAAGCGTTACCGCGCGGAGATCACGCTTCTAACACACAAGATGAGATTGCAGTGGTAGCATCACAGAACCACAGTGCTCACGCAGAAAACGATATTCAACATGTGCTGTTTGGATACCAGTTCAGCCATGGAAACCAATTGCACACCAGGATGCACCCGAACTTCAACAAATACCGAGGAGCATCCGAAAATTCTCCAGCCCACAAGCCCAGGCACGGTGGCGGCGGGTTGGGCCGAAGGCCATTCGAAAAAAACGGCGTGTGCCAAGAATCGTGTCGGAGCCGCCCAAGATCGCCAGAGACCTCCACGTCGCGCGAACAGTAGAAAAGGCAGCGAAACTCGGTGGAACTTTTTCCTTTCATCTTCACGCTACAGCTTCCTCCCGAACGGCGCGGCAGGCGTCGCGCCAAACGCACGCCAACTCAAACGCGCCAGTCGCCAGGCGGCGCGCCAAATGCGCGTCGACCAGGTAAAGGCAAGCAAGGTGGAGACGTCAACACGCCCCAAATACCAGTCGGCGCGCCAAACGCGTGCCAACAAACCTCCCTTTTGTGGTCTGCGTTGAATCTACAGTGACGGGCCAGTCCTCGCCAAGAGTTTCTGCGCTGCCAGGAAGATCTGCATGAACCGGCTGTTGGGGCCCACGCTCTGCTACTGGTTGGCAACATTGGAGGCCTCCTGGATGGGGTCCGAGTAGATGGGGTCGGAGGATCTCGCCGCATCGCCGATGCATCGGCGATGCACCGTCGATGCATCGGTGATGCATGGGCCATTCACTGGCGACGTCGGCGGTACATCCGCGACGTCGGCGTGCGGAAAAATGGACCCCGCATCGAGCCGCATTGCCGATGCATCGCCGATGCATCGGCGATGCGGCGCGATCCTCCGACCCCATCTACTCCGACCCCATCTAGGAGGCCTAGAAACATCCTCACACGACCAGATCGCTCAGCATGTGTAGCAATGCCTGGTTCCAAACGTCTGGAACCCCTGGCAGACACCAGTGCGAGCAGTCATTTTTCATCACCTTGCCGGGTGAACCCGCCGACCCCTTGTGGGTCTCTAGGCGCGTGAGATTGTTCCCCGCCCGTACAGTCGGGGCGCTGAAGAAGGAACCCTTTCCGTTGGGGAGGGGCGCCGTGTTCCTTGATTGCTTCACAGCTTGCCTCAGGTTTTCCTTATGTTTCCGATGGGAAATCGAAGGTTAACTTCTGGAAAAAGGGGCCTCGTTCCTTATTCTTGGGTTCCTTAGGTCAAGGCCCCGACGGTAAGCCCCCCCCCCAGGGGACCCCAAACCAGCAATTTGACCCCCCCCTCGCCGGATCCGGCCCACCGCCGAACTCATCAGGGGGGGGGCCTGGCTCCCCAGGCTCGCGGTGTAGCTCCAAGACAGCCCGTCGAGGCCCCCAAGACCCCCCCAAGACGGTCCAAGAAAGCACAGAGTCTCCGAATGATCGCCCCAACGCGCCCAAGATGGGCCCAGGACGGGCCAAAAAGCAGCCAACACACCCCAAGACGCCTCCAGGAGGCTTCTCAGGAAGCCCCCACGACGCCCCAATCGTCAATTTCCATTGAAAACCTATATTTTCAACTAGAACCACGCGCGCGCTTCGCGCGCGCTTGGGTTCTAGCTAGGAGGCGAGCTTGAGTCAACGAAAGTCGCAGGGAAGGGGGCAGGGGGAAGAAGGCCAGAGAGCGCTGAAGGATACAAATACTGGAACCCTCTTGTGATTTTGTGGGGGGCCTCGTCCGGCCGCTCGCTGGGAGTTTGACGTAGCTTCTCGGGAGCCTCTGAACCTGTCGGGGGCCTCCTGGAAGCAGGTTCGAAGCATTTTGGGGGCCGATTTGGGGCTTCTCGGGGCCTCCTTTGGGCCTCTTGGGGGTCTCCTGGGGCCTCTTGAGGGGCCTCCTTGGGGCCTCCTGGCGGCCTCTTGGGGCGGAAGGCTCGAGCTTGCGGTTCGTGGTCCCCCTCTGGGCCCCCTCTTGGGCCCGTCTTGGGGCCCTCTTGGGCCATCTTGGGCGCCTCTTGGGCCGTCTTGGGGCCCTCTTGGGCTGTCCTGGGGCCCTCTTGGAAGCTTCTTGGGCCGTCTTGGGGCGGTCTTGGAGGCCTCTTGGGCCGTCTTGGACGCGGTGAAAGCCCAAGATGCGAACATGCGAAAAATATACGTTTTCCCATAGGAATGACACGATTTTTGTTTCTTGGACCTCTCTTGGGGTGCCTCTCGGAACGTCTTGGGCTGATTTTGGAAGCCTTTTGGCGCCTCTGGGCGGCGTTTTGGCGCCTCCTGGGATATGTTGGGCCGGAAGCTCGGAATTCGAGAGTGGCTTTCTCCTTCTGGGACCCCTCTCGAAGTCGTCTTGGGGTTCTCTTGGGCCGTCTTGGGGCCGTCCTGAGCCACTCGTGCGCAGCCTTGGAGCGCTCCCGGAGGCCTCCTAGGCCGTCTTGGAGGCCTCTTGGGCCGTCTTGGACGCGGTGAAAGCCCAAGATGCGAACATGCGAAAAATATACGTTTTCCCATAGGAATGGCACGATTTTTGTTTCTTGGACCTCTCTTGGGGTGCCTCTCGGAACGTCTTGGGGTGCTGTTGGGAGCCTTTTGGCGCCTCTTGGCGGCATTTTGGCGCCTCCTGGAGCCTCTTGGGCCAAAAGCTCGGAATTCGAGGTTGGCTTTCTCCGTCTGGGACCCCTCTCGAACTCGTCTTGTGGCTCTCTTCGGCCGTCTTGGGGCCGTCCTGGGCCACTCGTGCGCAGCTTTGGAGCGCTCCCGGAGGCCTCGTAGACCGTCTTGGGCGCCTCTTGGGCCGTCTTGGACGCGGTGAAAGCCCAAGAGGCGAACATGCGAAAAATATACGTTTTCCCATGGGAATGACACGATTTTTGCTTCTTGGGCCTCTCTTGGGCTGCCTCTCGGAGCGTCTTGGAAGCTTCTGGGACCTTCTTAGTGTCATGACAGGCGTCTTGGAAGGCATCTGGAGCCATCGGAGCGCGTTCCGAAGCCGCCTGCGAACGATCTTGGACGGCGTCCGGCGGTCCGACGAGCCTCCGGGCCCCCCGGGGCCCACATTTGTGGTCGGGGCCCCGGTCCCGGGCCCCCGGACCCGGTGCGCCGTTATACGTATACATGTGCGACTTTTCGGCCGTCGCGGCGTTGACGACAATCCACGAGGCTCCCGAGACCGCCCCACGACGGCCCAAGAGGCTCCCAAGGGACCTCCAAGACAGGCCAACAGGGTTCCGAGACGGCCCACAACGCCTGCTCTGCAGCGCCAAGACCGCCCGTCGAAGCCCCCAAAACACCCCCAATACGGCCCAAGAGAGCACAAAGTCTCCCAACGGTCGCCCCCCAACACGCCCAAAATGGGCCCACGACGGGCCAAAAAGCAGCCAACACACCCCAAGACGCCTCCAGGAGGCTTCTCAGGAAGCCCCCACGACGCCCCAATGTCAATTTCCATTGAAAACATATATTTTTACGTCTGCATTTTTTCGGCCGTCGCGGCGTTGACGACAATCCACGAGGCCCCCGAGACCGCCCCACGACGGCCCAAGAGGCTCCCAAGGGACCTCCAAGACAGCCCAAAAGAGTTCCGGGACGGCCCACAACGCCCCCCAAACGGCAGACGAGTGCTCAAAACGGTTCGAAGAGGGGCCCAAGAGGGGGACCTCGAACCCATAATTCCAAATTTCCGCCCGATAAGGCCCCCAGGAACCCCAAATCTGCCCCCCAATAAATCCCAAAAGGCACCCAACAGGCACCCAAAAAACCCAGGATGCCCCAACGAGGATCAAATGAGACCCAAAAGCGGCTTCAACAGCCTTCCGGACTGCCTCCAAGGAACCTACGAAAAAAAGGCCCCGACGAGATCCCAACAGACATCCCAGACGCTTCGTACCTACAACCCAAGCGCGGTGGCGGGGTGGGCCGAACGCAGCTAGACAACGCACGGAGTCCACCTGTAGCGACGGTGCCGCCCCAGGACGCCCGACCCATCGCCTCTATGTTCACGCCTCCCCCCTGGCCCCCCAACCGTAACGTCGTCAGACTCCCTTCAGAACGCATACACGTTTAGCATCTACGACTCATGTCCCCCCCCTGGCCCCCCAAACCGAACCATCGTCCAATTCCTTACCTCCTCCTCCTCCTCCTCCTCCTCTTCCTCCTCCATCTGCCACTCCGTCTCCCTTTGTATAACCCCTTCCAGAAAGACAGACAGAACGATTCCCGTCGCCTCATTGGGTCGGTGGCGAATGCCACGCTCACCAATGAGGCCCCAGGGTTGTCGAGATCACACGCATCAGATACGGTGCCCGTCGGGCCCTCTGGCTGGGTCAGCGGCGACCGCCACGCTCGCCAGCCAGAGGATTCCAGACACAGACGGCTCGGGGAACGAGACTGGATTGATCGACAGAGAACACGATTCCCGACACCTCCTTGGGTCAGCGGCGACGGCCACGCTCACCAATGAGACCCCGATGTTGTCCAGACAACACGCATCATATAGGGTGCCCATCGGGCCCTCTGGCTGGGTCAGCGGCGACCGCCACGCTCGCCAGCCAGAAGATTCTGGACACAGAAAACTCGGAAACGAGACTGGACTGATGGACGACAGCACGATTCCCGACACATCCTTGGGCCAGTGGCGACTGGCAGCTCACCAATGAGGCCCTGGGGTTGCCTAGACCACACGCATCAGATAGGGTGCCCATCGGGCCCGCTGGCTGGGTCAGACAGCCACGCTCGCCAGCCAGAAGATTGCGACCACAGAGACCTCGGGGAACCGGACTTTGGTGATCCACAGGATCCCAACAACAACAACTACGACTACGACTACTACTACTACTACTACTACTACTACTACTACTACTACTACTACTACTACTATTACTACTACTACGACTACGACTACCACCACCACCACCACCACCACCACCACCACCACCACCACCACCACTACTACTACTACTACTACTACCACCACCACCACCACCACCACCACCACCACCACCACTACTACTACTACTACTACTACTACGACTACTAGTACTAGTACTAGTACTACTACTGCTGCTACTACTACTACTACTACGACTACTACTACTACTACTACTACTACTACTACTACTACTACTACTACTATTAATACTACTACTACTACTACTACTACTACTACTACTACTACTGATACTAGAGAAACTACTACTACTACTACGATTACTACTACTACTACCACTACTACTACCACTTCTGCGACAACTACTACTACTACTACTACTACTACTACTACTACTACTACTACTACTACTGCTACTACTACTACTACGACGACTACTCGTTGTATTATTTCCATTGTTATCATTACTACCACGACGCCTACTACAATTAATACGGCAAGTCGTAGTATTACTACGAAAACCAGTCTTGCCACTACTACGACTACCAAAACTAAAACTACTACTGGTACTACTACTACTACTGCTACTACTACGACCAATACTTGGATTACTAGTATTACTACGACTAGTGTTACTGATACTATTCATATTACTTCGAGTACAATTACTACTGCCAGAACTACCATTCCTACTACTACCACAATACTTTTAGTATTACGACGACTACGACTACCGCGACTTTTACTTCTTACTATCACTTCTACTTCTACTAAGACTACTGCTGCTACTGTACACGTGCTACTACAACAGCTACCACCAATGATGTTGCCAATTTTTTACTTCCACTATTGCTATCACGTGTAGAATGACTACTAGTGCTAGTAGTTCCACTGCTCCTACTACCGCTACTATTATTAGTAGTACTACCACTATTACTACTACCACTTTTACTTACGATGTCTTACTGTCTATGTATTTCGTCCTACTAGTTACTTACTTCGGGCGCCCGGGGCCCTTCTTGGCAGTAGTAGCCGTTGTAGCAGTAGCAGTGGTAGAATTAACCGTAATCGTAGCAGTAGTAGTGGTAGTAGTAGTTGTAGTTGTAGTAGTAGTAGTAGTAGTAGTAGTAGTAGTAGTAGTTGTAGCAGCAGCAGCAGCAGCAGCAGCAGTAGTAGTAGTAGTAGTAGTAGTAGTAGTAGCAGCAGTAGTAGTAGTAGTAGTAGTCGTAGTAGTAGTAGTAGTAGTAGTAGTAGTAGTAGTAGTACTAGTAGTAGTAGTAGTATAGTAGTAGTAGTAGTAGTAGTAGTAGTAGTAGTAGTAGTAGTAGTAGTAGTAGTAGTAGGGGTAGTAGTAATAGTAGATTTAATAGTAGTGGTGATTGTAGTCGGAGAAGTAGTAGTAATACTAGTAACAGTAGTAGTAGTAGTAGTAGTAGTAGTAGTAGTAGTAGTAGTAGTAGTAGTAGTAGTAGTAGTAGTAGTAGTAGTAGTAGTAGTAGTAGTAGTAGTAGTAGTAGTAGTAGTAGTAAAAGTGGTACGATTACTACTACTACTACTACTACTACTACTGGTACTAGTACTAGTACTAGTACCCTTACTGGTAGTAGGAGTAGTAGTAGTAATTGCAGCAGCAGTCGTAGTAGTAGTAGCAGTCGTAGTGGTGGTAGTAGTAGTAGTAGCAGTAGTAGTGGTAGTAGTAATAGCAGCAGTAGTAGTAGTAGTAGTAGTAGTAGTAGTCGTAGTAGTAGTAGTAGTAGTAGTAGTAGTAGTAGTAGTAGTAGTAGTAGTAGTAGTAGTAGTAGTAGTAGTAGTAGTAGTAGTAGTAGTAGTAGTATGGGTATCAATAGTAGTACAACGCCACCCCCAAACTATGCGCACACAGCGAAAACGTGATTTGGAACGACGCCTCTGGGCGGAGCAACAACAAGCCTCCACGGAACGGGCTCGCCGCATCCCGTGCATCGCCACCGGCACCCACAGAATTTGAACCAGCCCTGGCCCGTGGCCTTCCTGGCCAGGGTGGCTCTGAATAAATCGTGAGGACGCATGGAGCGGGGGCCCTTCTTGTTGCAATAGGGCCCCCCGCAGCTTTACTGAATTGCGAGGAAGTCTCGGGCGAGAGCGCCGTTCCTGACTCTGGGGGCCTCTCTGGCCAAGCCCTCTCGGAGTAGATCGTGACAAGGAGCGGCCTCGCCGCATCTCTCGCACTCCCACTCCTCCTCCACCGCCTATCCTGCTCCCCCTACACCTCCTCCTTCTCTGAGCAGGCCGACCTCCAACACCAGCCTCCAAGCAAGCCTTGAACTCAGGTAAACGGTGGCGCCCCAAATGCTCCCAACCGCCCGGGTAGTAAAAACAAGGGGTCGGCGGATGTGGCGTAAGCCTGTAGAATCATTTGAGGACTTCCCAGGATGAGCATCTGCTCGCCCCCAGCTCATAGCGGTGATATCGAACATGCGAACACCGAACCTCTTGTCTGGATTGTTGGCAGTGGAAAGCAACATCGAGTTTACTGCTTCGATGTCCGAGACAAGACGCAGATCCTAAAGCGGCGCACTCACTAATGTTATTCACGGGCCCCGTCTGTCCGTTACAACTGCCCTGCGAATCCCAATCGCCATGAAAGAAATCCGCCGGGCTATAGGTTTGCAAACTAACGTCTCCTGTGAATGCTATCTTCTCTAATTCGCGAAACGCATGTTCAATAGCAGTGGTGAGTGCCTCAATATTGATACGTCCGCCCGTGTCGTCGAGGGTCCTATGTCCATGGTGATATGTGTTGCCACGATGCGCAACATGGTGTCCACCACCGAGAATCAGGATAAAGCTGTTCTGTATGCGTCGCAATAACCTGCCAAACTTAGTAATTCTGGCAGAAATTCTGTTAAGCTCCACAGCGCAAGCACCCCGTCCCAAACTATCGTAACCGCGCTCAAAGAGAAATTGATCTCTTGCTGTCGACTTCATAGGTGTACACACATGCCCAAAATACTGGTCAAAGTCAAAGTGCATGTTATCAACCACTGGCATTAACATGCGCAATGATTCATATGTGTTCTGGACTAGCGAATCACCGACCATGAATATGGGACGCCGAGAAACGATGTGCTGCATTTTGCTTGCGTTGAAAAGTGGTAACTCACAGTCGTCTGGGACCCATGTGTATTTAGTAATATCATCTGATCTGCTGCGGGGGCATTTGAATTCTCCGTCGACATGGGATTTGTCATACAATGGCGGCTTCGCTGACATCTGCCATCTCCCTTTCGTTAAATCGCATGGCTTTTTTCCTTTCGCCTCCAAGTGCAAGCTCAAAACTCCTATATCGCACAAGCTTAATTAGCCTGCCGAAGGACCCAACCATACGCAGTTGTGAATACCGCAATTGTGAATACCATCTTCGCCCGCGCTCCCCATGTGGCCACGGCTTCCCGCCGGAGCCCGACATGCTCAGGTACACGTTCGTGGCCGTCTTCGCGGGCGCCGACGACGACAAGGACGGCGCCCCTCTCACCGAGGAGCACAAGCAGGAGAGGGCCTTGAGAGCCATGAGGGAGGAGGTGGCGTTGCACGTCGACAAGGCGGAGTACGACGCCCAAGCGCGGTTGTTGAAGCAGCACAAGTATGGGGCCACGATCCTCATGAGGGATGCGCCGCAGTGGCCCGGGGCCGCCATGCGAACCCTGCCACTGGCGCCTTCGGTGGAGCTCCCTATGAGGCCACGATCCTCGTGAGGGGTGTGCCGAAATGGCCCGAGGCCGCCATGCGAACCCTGCCACTGGCGCCTTCGGTGGAGCTCCCTATGGGGCCACGATCCTCGTGAGGGGTGTGCCGATGGCCCGAGGCCGCCATGCGAACCCTGCCACTGGCGCCTTCGGTGGAGCTCCCTATGGGGCCACGATCCTCGTGAGGGGTGTGCCGAAATGGCCCGAGGCCGCCATGCGAACCCTGCCACTGGCGCCTTCGGTGGAGCTCCCTATGGGGCCACGCGCCGATGGCCCGAGGCCGCCATGCGAACCCTGCCACTGGGGCCTTCGGTGGAGCTCCCTATGGGGCCACGATCCTCGTGAGGGGTGTGCCGAAATGGCCCGAGGCCGCCATGCGAACCCTGCCACTGGGGCCTTCGGTGGAGCTCCCTATGGGGCCACGATCCTCGTGAGGGGTGTGCCGAAATGGCCCGAGGCCGCCATGCGAACCCTGCCACTGGCGCCTTCGGTGGAGCTCCCTATGGGGCCACGATCCTCGTGAGGGGTGTGCCGAAATGGCCCGAGGCCGCCATGCGAACCCTGCCACTGGCGCCTTCGGTGGAGCTCCCTATGGGCCACGATCCTCGTGAGGGGTGTGCCGAAATGGCCCGAGGCCGCCATGCGAACCCTGCGACTGGCGCCTTCGGTGGAGCTCCCTATGGGGCCACGATCCTCGAGAGGGGCGTGCCGAAATGGCCCGAGGCCGCCATGCGAACCCTGCCACTGGAGCCTTCGGTGGAGCTCCCTATGGGGCCACGATCCTCGTGGGGGGTGTTCCGAAATGGCCCGAGGCCGCCATGCGAACCCTGCCACTGGGGCCTTCGGGGGAGCTCCCTATGGGGCCACGAAACGACGCACTGGGTGGGTGAAACGCAGGGAGGAGGGAGGGAGGAGGAAGGGGGCAGCGGGAGGAGTGGACGCGGGGCGCTGTCTCTTCAAAACGAGGACCCAACACCACAGGATGGTTGGGAAAAAAGTATGGAGCACACCATCGGATTTGACCTCCTTGACAGCATTGCCGATGCTGGTACTGACCTGTTCCTTACGTACGAAGGGCTGATGGTTGTTACTGGCTTCGGCGGTGGACAAACCTCCCTGTAGCAAAACCTCCCCTTAATGAAAACGGCCTGGGACCGAAACCGACGGACCTGGACCCGCCAAAATGACGGCCGCGACGCCCTCTCGCGAAGCGAAAACGGCCAATTCCTCAATCGACGCGTCAAGGTAGCAGGTCTATCCACCCCCGACTGGTTGAACGGCGTGGGCAAGCTTTTTGGTCAGCGGGTCGGGAGCGGGCCCCTTCCGGTCAAGAGCTAAACGGGGCGCGAGTAGCCCTAATTGGGGAGACAGGGCGCGGGCGGGCAGGGCCTCAGGCGGCCGGAGGGCTCAGAGTACAGGATGGCGTGGGCAATCACGGCTTGAGCCAAAATGGCCAAACTGAAACGGAACGCCGCCTGTGGAGCGGAGCCCCCGGGCCTGCGGAGAGGAGAGCCCCCGGTTGCCGCCGGGGGCCACCGTGCCGAGGGGGGGAGGCCAACACCTCTCTCGCTGCTGGGAGCGCTGCTCGCCCCACCCGGGGAGAGCGCGGGGGGCCCTGCCCTTCGACTCCCGCGGCCACAGCACGAGGTGCTCTCCTCCCCTGCGCGCCGCGAGGGCCTCTGGGGGCCCGACACGGGGCAGCATGCCGCCCGACGTGCGACACCTCGACGCCCGGCTCTCCAGGCGCGCGTGCGTCTCCATCTCTCTCTCTCTCTCTCTCTCTCTCTCCTCCTCCTCCTCCTCCTCCTGCTGCTTCTCCTCCTCCTCCTACTCCTCCTCCTACTCCTCCTGTTCCTCCTGTTCCTCCTCCTCCTCCTCCTCCTCCTCCTCCTCGACCAAGCCAGGCGCGAAAGGTCCCTTCCGCACCGTGCCGCTTGCGCCACCGCTTGGAGCCCAGCGTCGGCTCCAGAGGCGGGCGGCGCTCAAACCAGGCCACGTCGAAGCCTTCCCTGTGAAGGCCACGGCCTGCAAAATCGTTATGAATGGCCTCCTCCTCCTCCTCCTCCTCCTCCTCCTCCTCCTCCTCCTCCTCCTCCTCCAGGGCCCCTGTGTTCCTTGGCGCACCTTTGGGGCCCACGCCCTCGCCCCCGCTGGGCCTCGCACGGCCGGCGCCGGGCGCGCTCCTATCCCCCCTCGGAGGGGGGCGCATGTAGACCTCTGGCGGGGCAGCGGGGGGGCAGCCGGGGCCCCGGAGAGCGCCCGGCATCGATAGCCAGCCTCGGACGCATCCCTATCACTGAGATGGGCGAGCAAAAAGCGAGGACAATCCTAGGGATAGGCCCTCAGAAACGGGGGGAATCCTCGAGATCGGCATCGAGGTGAGGTGATGTCAAACATAGGGATAGGGATATGTTTCAAACTGGTAAATCGAGTCGACAGTCGGGAGCGGCGAGCGATGTGAAGCGGATCGGCGGGAGTCGGCAGCCCATGCAGGAGAAGCCGCAGCTCGGCGGCAGTCGGCAGGCTAAAAGAAGGCTTCCGCTGGGAGGATCAAGCGTCGAACCTAGAGGAAGAACAACCTGCGCAAACAGAACCTGCTTGAGGTCCGCACGGATTTCTTGGATCCGCGCTGGGCGTCCCGCCCTGGCGCGCTGAGTGCGCCAGGGGCGTCGCCGGAGGCGCCAACAGGGGCGCCCGGCGCAGATCCGAGAACTCCATCTGCGCGGAGCCTCGAACCTGCATGTTCAAGACGTTTTCCTGTGCTCCTCGAGAATGAAATCGGAATCGGAATCGATCGAAATCGAGTCGAAGCCGGAAGAGTCGCAAGGAGCCCTGCCGCGAGAGGGCTGCACACCCTCGGCAGGGGCCGCGAGGGTCACCGGGCGCCTGCATGCGCTTGTGCTGCTCGCCCACGGGGCTCCCGGAGATCTTCTCCGCGAGCTGCGCCGCGGCCTCGCGGGGAGGCCACGCGAAGCCAGGGCCTGCACAGCATCGAACACAAATCGACGCCGACGACGCCGACGCCGCCGACGACGACGAAGAAACGACGACGCGGGCGAGCGGGTCGCCGGGCGGGCGAACCGCAGCGGGCGGGCCAGGTCAGGAGGGCGCACCCTCCGGGTCGGGTCGGGGCGGGCGGGACATTGAAATACAGTCGGGGCGCTGCAGAAGGAACCCTTTGTGCTTGGGAGGGGCTCAGTGTTCCTTAGTTGTTCCACAGTTCGCCTTCGGTATGCCTTTGGTTTTCGATGGGAAATCGATGCTTCACTTATGGGAGAAAGGGGCCTCGTTCCATATTTGGGGTTCCTTAGGTCAACGCCCCGACTGTACGATGCAGAATCGAAGGGTCACATAAGAGCCCCCAGGAGCGGGGCGAGTCGGCGAGGGCGGCCCCAACTTGCGGGTCGGGTCGGGCCAGCCAGTCTGGAAAGCTGCTGTTCAATAGCATTGAAGGGGCCCAAGGACACACACACATAAATACACACAAATAAAAAGATTCCCCATATTTTCCCATATTGTCTGGGTTTTGTCTTCCCCCCCACTTCCCATATTTTCTCGTGTGTTCTCGGGAATCGACGATTAATTGTGTCTGTGTGTGTGCTTTTTCCCCTCCTGAGGCATGTTATTACGTGGCACCCCGCAGATGCGGATAAGAGTGAGGGGGCGGTGGAGACGTCGGAAGTTTGCGAGACTCTGCAAAAGCCCGCCGCAGGCGCCGAAGTTTCGCAAATTATACAACGATCCCACCGAAGGGCCGATTGTCTCGTTAAACAAGTGTGTGTAGGTCGCGGGTGGGTCGCAAATGGGTCGCGGGCGGGTCGCGGGTCTGTCGTTGTTGGGTCGCGGGTGGGTCGCGAGGGGGTCGCAGGTGGGTCGCGGGGTGGGTCGCGGGTGGGTCGCGGGTGGGTCGCGGGGTGGGTCGCGTGTGGGTCGCGGGGTGGGTCGCGGATGGGTCGCAGGGTGGGTCGATGGTGGGTCGCGGTGTGGGTCGCCGGTGGGTCGCGGGTTGGGTCGGGGGTGGGTCGCGGGTGGGTCGCGGGGTGGGTCGCGGGGTGGGTCGCGGGTGGGTATCGGGTGGGTCGCGGGTGGGTCGAGGGCGGAACAACAACAACAACAACAACAACACCAACAACACCAACACCAACACCAACACCAACACCACCAACAACAACAACAACAAACAACAAACAGCAACATCAACATCAACAACAACAACAACACCCCCAGCAACAGCAGCAACAATAGCAACAACACCAACAACACCAGCAACAACAACACAAAGAACAACAACAACAACAACAACAACAACAACAACAACAACAACAACAACAACAATTACTAGCACGTGGGGACACACCGTTCTCACCAGTGCCAGGGTTTTCATAGGAGGCGGGCAATACCCCCACTTTGTGGGGGGGCCGGTTCAAGCTCTACCAAATTTCCAAACGACTCTTCGCCACCACCCACACCCAGCTTCCCGCCCTATGACGTTCGGACACTTCACTTCGTGGCATGCGGACGACCGTGGCTACTATTCAGGGCCCCGCGGCCGACGACGACGGCGTGCGCGCGCGAAGAAAAAACGAATGTGTCCCGCATGGTATTATTTGACAGGGATGATGGCCCTGGCAGGTGCGCAACCGTTGTTGCAGAAGTTCGAAAAAGTTGCTCGCAAAAGCCCGTTTGACAGAAATGTTTAAAAAGTGTTGGGTTTCCTACGAATCCGCAAGAGCGCGCGGGATGAAATTTTGACACTTTTTTTTGAAAAACCATTGGTTTTTTGATGTTTTTATGTTAAAATCGTTACGAAAACTAAGGTTTTGGAAGGATTTCGTCTTGCGCGCGCGAATGTCCACTTTACCTTATTGTTTGCAAGGGATTCTTGAAGTTTGGTTATGTTAGAACAAGAAATGTCCACTTCAGCTTATTTTTTGCAAGGGAAAACGGGGGACAACAAAACAACCGGATCCGGACACCCACGTTTTGCCTGAGACTTCCTCACGAAAATGATGAAAATGTGGCTGCGGCCTAGGCGCGGCGAGGGGGCCGCGCACCAGGGGTCCCAACAATAATTATTCTTTAGAATAAATAATGTTCAACAACAACACTAACAACAACAAAAACAACAGCAACACCACCAACAACAACAACAACGCAACACGCAGAATCCTCACTACGGATCCCGACTTCAGCCACGCACCCAGGGACAATGAATGACAGTTTGGCCCCCTCACTCTGACTATGTGTTGATGTTCTAGCCCCATAGATGTTTGGGTGTACTCTCCGACCTCAGATTGCCACTTCTTGCGCGGCTGGCACTGCTCCCCCGCTGGGCCGATGTGTCGGGCGCCATGGCTTGCGAGCGAACGAACTCCTGATCCCGCGGTTCTGGAGGATGCATCGGGCGCCGCGGCCGTTCCATTGCGCTCGGAGAGCCCTCTGGAACTCTCTGGGGCCATTTGTCCCGGTTCCAGGCTCGCCCGAGGGTGGCAAGCGGCCCTGGCAGCGAATCGATGAGTCGGGTTCGATTGATCCGAACTTCGAGTCAGCAGGCATCGGCCGAGACCGAGAACGGGCAGGCATCGGCAAGGCCGGGCCAGATCGGATGGGAACTCCGCGGTCTTATCCCCCGATCCTCATCGAAATCGGCGTATCCGTCCTGGTCCCCCCTTCCGAGGGGGGGACAAGAGTGGACATGCGCGCTGAGAACGGAGAGGGAAGGCTAAAACAGAATCACGCTCTGGCGCAAACGGCGCTCCGGCAGCAGTGGAAAAAAGCAGGGATGTCCACGTCGTGAAGTGGAAGGAAGGGCAAGCGCAGGCAGACGAGATGAGCGGGCTCGGATGGGCGGACAAGGCAGCTCACGAGCGCACGAGACGAGCGCAGGCAAGCTGCGAGTGGAGGAAAGAACGGAGGGAGGATGACGAGGACGGACGAGAAGGGCAATTGTCTTGATCCCAACGGCGGATCGAAGGGTCATGCACACGCCCAGGGCCCCTGGGGCGTACCCACTGAATCGGCTTCTCGACCCTGGGTTGTTGCTGGCGGCCCCGCGGTCCCGGAAGAGCCCCGAGGCAGACCGTGCTAGACAGATCACTCCGCAGCCCTGCCCCTCCGTCGCCTCCTCGCTGTCGAGGATCGTTGGGACTGAACCCCCTTCCTTGTCACCCTCGTCCTCGGTGGTGTTGTCATCTGCCTCATCTGAGAGCAGTACTTCTGTCCATATCCACTGCAGTATGGAGCTCCGGGCTCCCCTCCCCAGAAACCCGAGGCGCACTGGATATGGATAAATTTGCCCCCTAGAGACTCGACTTTTATCCATGTCCAGTGCACCTCGGCCTTGTGGCGCCCCTTCCAAAAAAATCAAAGGAGCACTGGATATGGATAGAAATCTTGCCCGCATCATCCCCGCACGATGGTGTCGGGCGTTCTTGGGTGTTTTCGGCCATGTCTGGACTTCTGGGAAGCCCTCAGGAGCCCTCTGCGTGGCGGGGGGTCCCCGTGGCCACCGCCTGGGGGATCCGCCTTCGTGGACCTCGGCAGGCAGCGGATCGGAGGCGAGGGGGTGAGATCGAAAAGGAACGGAGGGCTCCCCTACCGGGAAATCGGTGTCGGTTTCGTGTTCGCGCGTGCCGTGCGTGCGGGCGAGGCGAAGCTGCGTGGGCGGGCGAGAAATAAGTCTCCTGTAGATGAGGCGCGGCCGGACCAATAGTCTCCGTTCCGGCAACCGGTGCCCCGCGGTGTCCCGCAGGTGTCCCGCTCGGGGGCCGGTGGCGCGCGGTGTCCCGCCTCTGTCCCGCCAGTGTCCTGTCGGTGTCCCGATGATGATGATGATGATGATGATGATGATGATGATGATGATGATGATGATGATGATGATGATGATGATGATGATGATAATGTTGATGATGTTGGCGATGATGATGATGATGATGATGATGATGGTGATGGTAATGATGATGGTGTCCCGATGATGATGATGTTGCCGGTCTTGTTGATGGTGATGATGGTGGTGGTGATGATGATGATGATGGTGCCCGGATGATGCTGTTGTTGATGATGATGTTGCTGATGATCCTGGTGTCGCGATGATGATGATGTTGATGATCCTGGTGATGTTGATGATGGTCAGATGATTTGATGATGATGATTATGAAGATAGCGATGATGATGGTGTCCCGATGATGATGATGATGATGATGATGATGATGATGAGGTTGATGATGATGCTGTTGATGATGATGGTGATGGTGATGATGGTGTCCCGGTGATGATGATGATGACGATGGTGTCCCGATGATGATGATGTTGATGATGAGGATGATGATGAGGTGATGATGGTGATTTTGATGATGGTGGCCCAATGATGGTGATGTTGATGCTGATGTTGATGATAATGATGGTGTCCCGATGATGTTGATGATGATGGTGATGATGATGATGATGGTGACGATGATGGTGTTCCGATGCTGATGATGCTGCTGATGATGATGATGTTGTTAATGATGATAATGGTGTCCCGATGATGATGATGTTGATGTTGATCATGTTGATGAGATGATGATGATGATGATGGTGGTGGTGTTACGATGATGATGATGGTGTCAAGATGATGGTGATGGTGTTGATGACGATGATGATGGTGACGATGATGGTGTCCCGATGATGTTGATGGTAATGAGGATGTTGATGATGATGGTCATGAGGTCATGATGATGGTGTCTCAGTGATGCTGCTGCTGCTGATGATGATGATGATGATGATCACGTTGATGACGATGATGTTGTTGATGATGATGACGTTGCTTGTGATATCGATTGTAATATCGATAGTGAGATCGATAGTTAAACCGAATGTGAGATCGATAGTGATATCGATAGTGAGATCGATTGTGGGATCGATAGTCAGATCGATCGAACGAAATAGATATAGTGAGATCGATTGTGAGATCGATCGAGTGAGATCGATCGAGCGAGACCGATTGTGAGATCGATCGTGAGACCGATCGAGTGAGACGTTGGTTCCTCCCCCCCGAACCTCCTTATCACCCGAAGGTTGGTCGTATAGGTATGGATATACTTGGCCCCCCAGGGCTCGAATGTATCCATCCCGCCCACCACCACCTGCTGTGGTCCCCAAAAAACGGGCCCCGTGCGATGTGACTCCCCCTCCTCCTCCTCCTCCTCCTCCTCCTCCTCCTCCTCCTCCTCCTCGAAGTACCCCCTCGTATCCTCCGCCCTCCAATCACCTCCACCTCGAAGTTCGACGCTGGCGGCCCCCAGGGGCAGCCGTCGCCCCCCCCCCCTCGCCCCACCGCCTGGTATGCGGGGGGGGGGAGACGCCACGAAGGTGGCGGCTAGCGGGACGAGCGAGCGAGGGACGGCTTTCCATAGGGGCTGGCAGGCGGGACGAGGAGGGAGACGGCACTGGGGGAACAAAAAGTGGCATAAACATAAAAACTCTGAGATCTGCGCGGATTTCTTGGACCCGCGCTGCACCCCCGTCCCTGGCGCGCGGAGCGCGCCAGGGGCGGCGCTCTCTGGAGGCTAATTTCGGGCCCAGGGGCCTTCGAACAATGACTCAGGACGAAAAGCCGTCCCTCGGGAGAAGCTGGTCGATAATGTTTAGGACTCCCTCCCCCATCTCCCCGCCTTCAGGTCGCATACCACTGGAATCCAAAGGAGAACGCGAGGACGACTTGTCCTTGCCGCTTGAGCCTGGCTTCCACCGCCGGGAACCAGAGAGGCACGCCCGACACGGGGACGGACAAAAATGGGGGCGGTGCCCAATCGAAACAAATTGATTCAAAAGCCAACAGCGGCCGCTGTTGGGCCAGCGACGCGCCTGTCCGAAGTGGACACTGTCCGCGGCGACACTGGCTGCGAGAGCTGCTCTCGATCTTCGCCCCCTCTCTTCCCGTACGGCAGGCTCGTGCCGTGACGACCTCGGCGTCGGCTTCTGCCGGCGCATGGACCGTCAAACCTTGAGCGACCACACCTTCGCGATGAGGCAGATCGTTCGGCATGGCAGATCGCTCGACGTCGCCCCCCATCTGGGGCAAAAGGCTCGCACGGTATTCGTTGGTCTCCGTCCCTTAGTGGGCCCTGGAAACGACGAGGCCGTTTTTTTACCGGTTCCGTTTTGCCGTTTTTTTGCCGGTTCCGACGCCGTTTTTGTTACCGGTTCCGTCGCCGTTTTTTGACCGGTTCCGGCTCCGGTTCCGATCCTGGAGCCGTTTTTGTTGCCGTTTCCGATCGCCGCTTTTGTTGCCGCTTCCATTTTCAAGTGGCTTTTTTTTTGGAAACGGTTAAAAAAACGGCCCTGCCTTTTCCAGGGCCCACAACGCTCCGTCCCCACTCCTTCCGACACCACCTCGATGGCACCGACCACGTGGCTGCGCGACGTCCCCTGCAGGCGCCGCTTGCCCCGCGGGGAGTGGGGGGCCCCACGCTGCCACGGCGTGGGCCCTGGCCCCCTCGACGCGGCGTGGCACCGCCCAGCGCTGAGGAAGACATCCCCCCTGCGGAGGCCCCCAAGTGCGAGGCCCCTCGCACCGACGCGGCGCGCCAGCGGGCTGTCTCCTTCGAGGCCAG